CAAGCTTGATTGATCTTCACCTGTTACATGTAGATTTCTTGCATTAATGTCAACTGTGCAGGTCTTATTATCAGCAAAAGTTATGTATTTATGTAATTGTCAAGTAGTGGAAGTGTAGTTTATGTGTACTCATCTCTCTTTCTCTAAGTTCTCTCCTTTCTCCTATTATCATCTCATTATTTGAAATTTGGCCCCTGTACCATAGTACGCATTCTTGAGCAACTTTAATATAGTCTATAGTATCACTGGGTACTACTGTATAGCGCTTTAATTTTGCGGATTGATAAAAATAAATTTTTCACGGAAATAACTTTTGCGGATTCGCAATGTTAGTGCCATGTCTTTAATGCCAATTGAAATATTAGTGGATCTTTAATTTCGTGGTTTCATGCTAACTATGAAAATAGCAAAAGTTTAGCTCCTCCAAAATAAAGTGCTATATGGTATATATTCTATTTTTAACTCTCTCTGACTCTCTTTTTCTATCATATGCAGATTAGTTCAAATTATAGTGGGACTCTCCCCTGGTCAGGGGTTGGGTCTCAGTATTGTTGGTGGGCGTGGCTCTCCCACTGGGGACGTACCCATTTATGTAAAGAGGATCCTACCTGAGTCAGTGTTACAGAAAGACTCAGAGATAAAGACTGGAGATGAACTGGTAGCAGTTAATGATTTAATAATACATAATGTAACTAAGGACTATGCTACTGAAGCTCTTACTAATGTATAGGGAACAGTGAGACTGCTACTGATACAGGACCTATGAATCAGTGATATGATATCTGGAGACTGGATTCAATGAATCAATCTATTGATTGGTCTCTTTATTTCTTTCTCTTCATTATTTCTTTTACTCTTGTGTTTTATTTCTTTTTTGTCTGTTTCTGTCTTGGTTTTTGTGTTTTTTATTTACTATTAAAAAAATCATAATTATTCATAATCCAACGACTAATGTAATGAGATTCATGCATTCTCTGACTCTGACTGAGCCCGCCTCTGACTGAGTCACGTGATTAGTTTTGCAGCTGCGGATTAGTGCAGAAGAAGTGCAGAGACTAGTTTCAATTCCAAGTTCAAATAATTATGGCAACTCCTTTTGTAAAAAGACCAGAACGACACCAGCCACTAGGTTAGTTACTGTATGTTGAGCCTATCACTCGTGAATTATCCTTTCCATTCTATAGGTATACGTAATCTTTCTGAGATATTTCATTTACTAAAGAGGCATGGTATCAGTTATTTTGATTTTGGTCTTCATCTGGGTCTGTCTCGTCCTACACTTGATGTTATTGAGGCTAATAACAAAAGAAATGTTAATAAATGTCTATCAGAGTGCTTGGAGGTATGGGTGGAACAAGCTGATGATGTAAAGAGTAAAGGTGGTCCAACTTATGATACATTAATGGAAGCATTGAGGATGATGGGGAATAATGCTGTAGCTGATGAGATTGAAAGAGAAAGTAAGGAATAATTACCCACACTTTTGATTAAAAATGACACCTAGCGTCATAATTATTGTAAACCTGCCTTAAGTAAAGCTAGTCTTGAATAGTTCCATAAATGAGTTTATACTGAACAGCACTTCAGTGGAGCTTGTGGCACTTCATCAATACTTCCTCCTGTTTCTTTTTTACTTCTTTATGCATGTATAGACCTCTATATTCCTGTGTGTCTGTGTGGTTTAATATTATAGTTGATGACAAGGTTAATATGTATATAAATTAGTATTTATCAATTTACATAAAATTATTTTTATTTAGTGGGCTTACCTGAAACTCCACCCTCCAGTCCACCTGCTAAGAGATTGACAATGCAACAATTATTAGGTAAATAATTTATGCTAAATAAGCACCTTTTCAATTTAAGGCCTTTCTACACTAGCACTTCTAATGCGCATTGAACTGGTTTGGAACTGGTTCCAGTCATTCCACACCTAATGCGCATTGACTTCAATGCACATTATGAC